TAGAAAATAATGTATTCATTGTTTTATTAAAATTCCTCGCTCCTAAGTATTGTCTCCCAAACAGAAAGTTACTAGAAGTTTGAGTAAATACAAATTACGAAGAAGCTAAGAGACATGTGTAGTAAAAAAATTACCTCATGTGAAAAAAATGTTGGCCACTACGGATTTGTGAGCAAATATAAATGTATGTAAATAGTTTCTTAGCTGTTACCTGCCATTTTGTCAGTCACGATTTTCAAATTAAAAACGAACACGTAAGAAACTGTAAAGATTGTAAGTAACTATATAAGTAATGCTATTGCAGATAATTTGAGAAACATATTTCATGTTTGATATTTAGAAAATAAAGTACTAACTGTGCACAGATTTGAGGCTTTCATGGCCCGGTATCACACCAGTTTTTATTGTTCAGCTGAACAATTTTTTTAACTAAAAATGTTTTTTGATTAGTAAGCAATGAACCGGAGCACGAGCAAGCTCCAGTATATTAGTGGAGCGTCATAAGGCACAAACCAGTATCAGTGTCTTTCGACTCCCTGATGAAGCTAATTGTAATGCTTGTGAAATGCTGGGAAAATAATTCCACAAGGGCACGGCTTACACCAGGAAATCTTAACAGTAAGAACTGTACTAACTGTGCTTACCGACAATGCACCAAATATAAAAGCAGTAATTAAGAAATTGGAAATAGAAATTATGAATATTTCTTGTATTGCACATACGTTAAATTTAATAGTTAAAAATTCTCTTAATGATACTTCGAATATTTCTCATATGTGGTATACTTCTAGAGCCTCGATTATTAACCCTTTCGCCTACAATATCGTGAGAGAGCCGTGTTACGTATATCGGGCCAAACATGAGAATCACGGGTGAGTTCACGATGAAGTCCACATTGATCATCAACAACCAGAGCAATGGATTTGAAAAGAAAAAAATAATAAAGCAAAAATCTGGAATTATACGGAGACTCCAGGCATTAAAGAGACAACTTTATATCAGTTAGGTACAAACAAAAAAGAAATAAACATTTTTAATATAATATTTGATATGTTTTGGGAAAATATTGTAACGGAGACAAATCGATACGCAGAACAAATAATAAACAATAAAAATAAAAGACGAAAAATAGATGAAACTTGATTTCCTGTAGATTGTGGTGAAAAATATATTTTACATTATATATAATAATGGCTCAAGTTAAAAAACCAACAATTCAAATGAATTGGTCTAAGAGGACCGTTATAGAAATGCCAATATTCAGAAAAACAATGATTTCTACAAATAACTAGATTTTTGCATTTCGCAAATAACAATACGGTCGACAATACAGGATAAATAACGCAAAATAAGACCTGTCACAAATTTGTTTAATCAAAGATGCAAAGAAGTGTATACAATGCAAGAGGACATTGCTATCAATGAATCACTAATGAAATATAAAGGACGCCTATCTTATAAACAATTTAATCCATCGAAAAGGGCGAGATTCGGTATTAAATTTGATAAATTATGTGAGTCAGCATCGGGTTATTGCTATGACTTTAAAATATATACAGCCAGTGACAAAATAAATTCTAATTACAGTGCATCGGAAAACGTTTTTCAGAGAGTTATCACAGTCAGTATTACATAAAGGACATATCATACTTTATATTTAGACAATTGATACTCTTTACCAAAACTGTTTATAACTTTACTCAACAGTAAAACTAATGCCGTTGAGGCAGTACGTTCGAACAGAAAGAATATGCTAAAAGATTTTGTTAAAAAAATATTAAAAAAGGCAGAATGTAGAATGAGAAGCTGCAATGGAATACTGGTATTAAAATGGAGCGATAAACGAGATGTTTGTATTATTTCTACAAAACACGAAATAGCAGAAATGACTGAACAAGGCAAAAGTCAATTCAATCCTACTTTAAAACCAAAATGTGTCATTGAGTACAATAAAGGAATGATTGGAATTGATCGGCAAGACCAAATGCACGAAAGGATACCGAAAAGTTTTCTTTTACGTGTTTGATATTGCACTGTTTAACTCCTACATTTTGTTCAAGAAATTAACTACTAAAAAAAACAGAGCTACGCTGAATATAGAATTGAAATAGCCGAATCAGTACTGAAAAATCTTCCGTTGCCAGAATATAAACGACGAGGACAATTATCGACAGAAGATTTACCACAGAGACTGCACGCGCAACATTGGGGTCATTTTCCCATGCATATAGGCCTAACACCATCGAAATCAAATCCATCAAGAGACTGTAAACTTTGTTCAAAACAGAAAAAACGTAGCGAAACAATGTGGGAGTGGAAAATTCGTAAAATTGCATTATATATACCAATGTGCTTCGAAAGATACCATACAATTGAAGATTATTAATTTTATGTAAATTTTTTCAAAACCTTAATAATTAAAATAATCATTTATTCATAAATATAAATTAAATGTTATTAATCTATTATTCATTTCAAGATAATTGATCTTCTTGTTCACTGATGAATCGTTCGTAATTACTTATCTAACATCGTACAAAGTTAAACCAGTTGTACCTTACACATGTATTTACATATTAGAAGACGTGTGCGATTTGCACAACTTCGAGCGCACGTTCGAAGCGTCAAATGGCTTGACGCGTAACTTCCAAGGCGTTGATTGTAGCACGCCCCGTCAAAACTTAAATCGTAGGGCAAGGGGTTAAAAATTGTAAAGAATTATTTGTGTATTATGATGACATCAGTACCGCCTGACAATGAGAGAGTATTCTCAAAAGTAGAAAACATAATACATGAAAACAGAAACAGTTAAAACTGTTTAACTGTAAAATTGTTAATAATAATTGTAATAATTTCAACGTATGAATCATACGGTACGGTTATAACATAATCTCTTCTTAATGGTTGCGTTCATTTATTAATTTCTTGTCTTTCACTTACTATCTGTATATTGCAATACACATATCTATCAGTATGTACCTACCTACATCTAATATTTTGTGACGTACCTACTTACAATTAAGTTTGAATATGTTTCATTTAATCTCAATTTCATTTAAATGTAGATATTTGTTAATGTACATATTATACATGTAAACGGTTCACATGCAATCCTCGATGATTCGATTACTTCGATATGTTTTACTTTCTTGAGTACCTACTTATAAAGAGTTCGTACATTGTTTATATGGCACCGATTGTACTTAGTAGTTACATGCTTGATCCCATCACTAATGATAATAATACACGAAGAGAAGAATATAACAATACAAATTCTGGTATATTACAAACAAAGCGAAGCCATAATTAAATATGCTTCTTCTCAATATTATTAATAAATCTATAAACAAAGTAAACAATGTTAATAATGCGATAGCCACAACAAACAGCATCATTATTTGACGATGTAATATTATACATAAATAATTTTATCTTTTGAGACTCTTTCCAGGGTGTTGAATTTTTTCTCATTTTTTTAGAAACTAGAAAAGTAACATTCACATATGACATCTTTCTATTCTTGAATTAATTAATATGTACTACTCTGTTTTTCAGAAGTCATGAAGTTTCTTCATAACTGTTGAATGTTTCATGAACATTCTTTCGGAAATGAAGTGTCATGCGATCGAATATTCACGTGGATTTTTTAAAATTAGTAATTGGATGTCCAAAGTATCTTGCCAAGGCAGTTGACGTCTAACAGCATTACCTTAACTATATTTTTCAACAAAAAAAGTAATAACTGTTTTACTAAATATACATAATACAAGTCACTTGTTAATATTTTTGTTTGGAAGCATAGACTATGTTCGCAGCAATATCGGGAAATCTTGATTTAAAATAAAAAGTAACACATAAAATATTTGAAATAATGACCTTTTTTTAAAACACATAAATAAAACTAGTTATTCGAATAATTCATTTAAATTATTAGAATTAATTAATTTATTATTTGTTAATTTGAAGTAAGAAATGTCACTTATTCAGCATATTTTGTTAAGAGTAAGTAAGGAATAATGTTTCTTAGTAACCTACAATTACAGTAATAATTTAACAATAACTAATGTTCGTAATTCATAAAAGTGCATACGAAGTAAAAACATACAAGTAAATATTTATTTTAACAACTTATATAATAATGTATATAACATAAAAATTCTTCACTAGAAATTATTTAAATGTACAAATAAACAGAAAATAAATGAATTTCGGTTATTGAAATACAGTATACATTAATACAATTGGCCACAAGAAATCTATAGTAATTACGCAATTCTGATGTCAATAAACGCAATTGTAAGTACATATTTCAAAGTGAATCATTCTAATCATGGCAACATCTTAGATAATATACAGAGACAGTTGTAGATGGTATAGTTTATGTAAACAATCATTTGAATTGAATCCCCAATAGTAGGTAATAAATAATGCAACTAAGAAATTCATACCGATAAAACATACGAAATTATAAATTAATTTTTATTTAAATAACATTTGATAATACTTAACAGAATTATAGAATGGTCCAATACAATCTTAAGTTTAAGAAACGCTGGAAGAAACGCTATTCTTAAATTCCCAGATTAGATGATCGCTGTAAAAACAGCCATGTTACTACGCATCTCGAAACCACCCCAAGCGTATCTCTACCAATAGGTGGCATCGGGGTGAAGTCACGGGAGTCGTTCGAAAATTTCGCGGACCAAGGGGGTTGCCGGTACCGGCAGAACAAGGGAGAGATAGATGCCTTGTACGATTGGCCGAACGACCCGGCGCAGTTGCCACGTCCGCTCGGTAAACGTGCGCGCATGGTGGGGATGAGTTGGCAGCAACGAGCGCTCCAATTGGCGGACTGCGCGGTGCCGCCTTTCGTGTCTCACGGAGCGCCGCGCGGATACACGCATCCTCAGTTCGCATCCGGAGGCCTTGCGAGCTGTATCACCTCGAGAAGGAAAGGAAAGATCCAACGGGAGCTTTCAAGTTTCCCCTCCAAGGGAGTCGCGTTTAAAATATTCTACGATCGAAAAAGTGCCAAGTTTTCTGTCGCACGTATTTTCTCGCCACTGGTATACACAAACGTCTTTTGTTTTCACGGTGATTCGTACACGTGACAGTCGCATTAGCGAAGAAGTTCGAGAGCAAGAGAAGTAGCGTGCTTATTCTATGCGAGAGGAGACATTCGTCGATCGTTCGAGTTGTTCGATATCGCGGGATCCGGCTCGCATTCTCGTTAGTCTCCTCGCAAGTTAAGAGAATCGGACCAGGTGTGCTTCCAATGTAAATCCAACAAGCAATATATATTACCAGAGTGGAAGTTTTTGTGTTCTCGAAGTTTACGTACCGCGGTTTTTCTATTTCTCGCCGGGTTTTGCGCAACAACGCGCACGTCGTCCTGATCTCGAAAGGGAAGAACGCTAACCACGTCTGGATCGCAAGAAGTTACATCTAGCTCAAGTGTTTTTTGTGTGAAATTCAGGAAACATGTCGACTGCCGTCATGAGCACACCAATGTTCGAGTGTAGCGAGCATCTTTTTAAGGTAAGATTTTTTCTTTACCTCCATGTCAGACGATTGCTCTGACCTCTTTGTGTCTCCTAATGTCTTCGTCCGTTTTTTTTTTTCGAGTTTTCAATGCCGTTGAAAGTCAAAACAAAAGCGACTCTCTACGTAAAATAGTATATTAATATTAATATTTAATATAAAGATACAGACGCAATTAAGCCACTAAAAAGTTTCTAGTCAATCAGGTGATATGTGACATACCTTATTGGCCATCGACCGATGATACTCGCTATCGCCGACGATCATCCTCAGTTGAAAGATTACGATACCGTGGAAAGTGTTCATTCGTTTGAATTACCGAGAAATCCAAGTGATAACCGTAACCAGGTGGAAAGATGGCTAGTGCTAGCACGTGGTAGCGTGAATAACAAGAAATTCTGTAGTGTAGCCAGATCGCGTTCAATTCTCTCGTGGCGGTGATAGTACTTGGTGGTACCGTGTCGCAAACATTTGTGCAACCGTATTTGTATATACGTACGTATTCTGTTTCGAGTGCTACGGTCTATTGCCCTGTCGAACAGATATCGAACGGAATGAGTAAAATTGGTAGAGGTTCTGCGGCCAGAAGTTGTTACGTATAGCGACAGTGTGTACGGGTAGGAAATTGTGGTTCCTTACAAAAAATACTTTCTTTTTTTAAATTTCACGAAATGCGTCATTCTACTCTGATATCAATACTTATTTGAAGCAGATGAGTCGGGTTAACGGTATTCGAGCATTTTCGTCCTTGTGGGGGTCTGTTTGTTTCTGTAAACTTTCCTCGTTCAAACTTTCGTTATTGCGAGACTTGCTTCATTTCTAAACACCTGCATTTATTTGTAAACTTACCGACACCTGTCAAATGTAACTTGAACGAAAGTTGTGTAAAGAAATCCATTGTGAAATTTTCAATATTTTACATTTTATGGCTGACAGAGGTGAAAGTTTGTGTTACTGTTGTTGTCGCAGCAAATGTCGATCCTTTGGTGAACTTTATAGATTTTTTCAGTTGGTATTTCTATTGGGAGAATATAATCCATAATGAAAATCTAACGCCGCGTATACTCTGGATTTTGTATATGGCGAATCGATTGTCAGTTGCTCCGCGAACGACATTGTTATTATTCGTAGTCCCGTGATTCGCTCGAACTTGCGATGACCTGTTCGCCGTTCCGAGCTATACCTCTCTCCGACATGTTTTCGTATTTTTCCGTTGTGCGTCGTTCTCTTCAGAAATATTCGATCGTGATTCTTTCGCGGGAATTTGCGTTGCGGATATATCGATACTGGGTATAATGTATTTAGATCGTCAACGTGAAAAGTGGTGGTATTCGAATTATTCAGAAGGATACAAATTATAAATTTCGACTAGCTCTCGTACGTGTACAATTTTTTAAGAAATTATCTGGCGATTCTGATAAATTGTCAAATAACAATTATCATTTATTCCACTTATTTATTGAACTTCTCTATTTACTATAAATTATAAACTATTTATAATGTTACGTTGTACGATTGTAAATGTCAAACGTTATTCTTGCTTAAATTTTGAAAAAATTTATCACAATTTTTTAAATCAATTGTTTCAAAAACAATTTTATTCCACGTTCTAAATTTTTTAATGAGCTAAAAAATATAATTTCGATTGCATATATTTTTTCTTAATTTTTCGCACGAGTTTATTTTGTTTCGCATGTATACTATACCATAAATATTGAGTAGTTCAGGAAACAATAACGTTTATCGACTTTTTAGTCGTTTTAACAATGCCGTTTGTTCACGTTCGCGATGTATTCGTTTATCATTTAAGTTGTTGCTCTTGAATGAGTGTATTTTCCAGTACATTTCTATTTCACAGAATCTCGCTTCAACACGAAAGTTCTGTTACGCTTTGACATGCTATGACTCGCAGTATTCCAGTTTATACATTCGTCCGTCTAGTTTGCGTAAATCATGTTTCGCATATATCTGTTACTGTGTGTACTCACACCCCGTCATCTAACGCAGAGACGTGCTTCACAAACACACGCCGGAATTGTTCTTCCATCGTTTCGTAGACTCCGGATTTCTCCGTGGCAACGTTGGAATAAAATTGTATCATACCTTGTGATATTTTCTAATTTGAATACAAATGCCTTTGTTATGCATTACGAGAAAACCGGAAAGTAATTTCGCATATGTTTATCAGCTTCTTTTATATGCAATTTCCTTGCAGCAACAACTCGCTAATTCGTTCGACCATGTCGGTGTTTTTGATTACTTACAAAATATTTACTACACTTTATTGTGAATGCTAAAATCAACTTCAATCAATTTACATTCAAAATAAAATATTCCATTACAGTTTAAAAAATTGATTGCAAATAAATAGTAATTTTCTTAAGAATACACAACTTGGTTCAAAATGGGACTTTAGGCAATTCAGTCACTTTCACTTTGACAATCCTCACAATCTTGACATATGACAATTTTTTTTACTTTCTACCACATACATATCGTTACATAAACCGCATACAATTGTTGTCTTCTGTAATTTATTGTATTTTTCATGTTTGCTGTAATATTATTTTACGTCTTGGGTAACTTTCTTCACATTTCCATTCGATAGTATTTATGCTCTCGTATAAAGATATATTTTTACACAAGCCTAATTTTTGCAAAATTTTAAGGTAATTGTTTTAGCGAGAATTCTCATAATAGCAATATAGTGGACATAAAGTACCCACTCCGTCATCCGTATTAGGAGGGTTAATAATCCAAGAAGATTTTCTTTCCAACATTCATAATGAATACTATTTATGAAAAATATTTGTGATGATCGTAATTAATAGAGATGGTTCTCGTAATGTATAAACATCGTCAGAAATTTGCCTCGAAACGAATACATACAAAGGAATTGCGTGTAATGCATTAAACGGTGAAACGTGGAAGACGGGGGCGTGCGTCCTCGAGTAAAAATATCTGAATCGTTCTATAAATTGTTTCCTTGGTGAATCGACTCTTCATTCATGTATTCCTAGCCAAGTCTTAACTTAACCAGCATAATTTAGTTATTGTTGCCCCTGATAAAATGACGCTTCTAGCGATGAAACATCGGCATCCTTCGAATTATCGACGTGAATATGCGAACGAACTTTAGGTTTAGTACGAGAAGTTGGAGATCGAAAGTAATTATTCCACCGTAATGAAAGGAACACCGAGATACGAGTTCGGAATCATTGTTTACGGGTCGCATCCGGCAAATAGACGGTGTTCGAGTTTTATCGTGACTTTTTTTTGCCTCTTTCCTTTTCAGCTACACCAGCTCGTAACTTTCCTCGGCAATTTCACCTCGGCGATTTCGAAACTCGTTCGATAGAGAAAGGCCTTCGACTTTCGTGGCCGATTACCATCTAAGGTGCTACTCGAAATTTGGACTTGGGATTCTAGATAACTTTTTTCCTCAATATTTCCGCGTTTAACATCACGTTGACTGGTCTTTGAGCATTTTTTTGGGCCAACGAAGTAGATAAAATTTATTATCTTATATGTCCGTATTTTCAGTTGCGACATACAAGTTAATTGTTCTTGGGGTTTCGTAATATGGTGTTAATAGTAATAAATACTTGGTTTAGGTCAGTATTACTTACAAATATCTCCAATTCATTCTCTAGGCTTACGCCATTTTGTGTCATGAATTGTGTGCATTGCTTTGAAAATGGATATTAATAAATTTCTTTTTATAATTTTCTTGATTTTTGAAGTTTCTGTTTTGGACACGTGTAAAATAGAATAGCTGGAAATGCAATAAAAAAATACCGATATGGGGTCCAAGATTATTTTCCGAGCTTACGCGACATGCATGAAGGTTCAGTTCACTAGTCTGGTGGTGCAGAAGATCTTGAAAGGTTGCCGATCAACAGCGTGGACAGTTTGGTCAAGGTGAACAAAAACCTCATATCTGTTCTTTATTTCTCTTTCGGTTATTTTATTTACATGTATCAAAAGGATACCCAAAAAAATTAGAAAAAGTATAAACAGAAATTTGTTTATATACATTTTCAAAGCTGCTTATGATGGACTTTGACGCTATGTTTCTGGTCAACATTGAATTTTTAAGACAGAGTGACACTTATTTCAATTCTTAGGAAGTAGAGTCCTATAATTCCCAACGATTAATTTTTCGAAACTAATTTAACGGCTGGGTAACTTCCCTTGTAAATCAACCTGAGAAACTATGTAATGGTACGCAACAAAAGACTCGAGTACGTATAGACTTAGTTGTGCCGTTACATACCTACTCACTGAATATTTCTATACTGTAAGCTTTTAGATTTAAAGAAGATCGTGTTGGGGAGGTTTGAAGTACCGATACAGGAGAATATTTTGTTTATCAGTAGATCGAATTTAGTTACGTATTAATACCACAAGAAAGATACCAAGAATGAAAATACAAAGGACCGATTATTTAAAAGCCTCATGCGAGCTGACCCGTCACTGTATATCGAACAAAGCACACTGGGTCCATCCTGTCGTAGAAATGTTTCATCCTGATTTTTCTATAACTGGAAACCCTCAGCCTGAAGGAGCAACATATCCAGTATACACCATCGGTAACAAAAAGCGGCTCGGTGGATACAAGCCACAGGCAGCGCGGAGGAACCTGTTACGTCGGATTTACGTTGGAACGAGGACCAACTACGGAAAAGATTGAGAGGGAGTATGTGAGGAGGAAAAACCACCACTGGGAAGGGGGGTTAGATAAAGAAGGGTATGCGTAGATTGCGCGGGTACATTAGAAAGAGACAGACGATCGACTGATCTTTGAGGATAGAGAAAAGACAATGGCGAGTAGGAATAAATTGAATGAAGTGGAAACATAGGGATTAAGAATACCATCATTGGTGGAGCGGAGTAAAATTTGGAAAAAAAAATATTTTAAATAGTACGAAAATATGTGGTAATAGTTTACAATTCGATCGGTATCCCCGATTTTCTGCAAACTTTAATATGTTGAA